GTGCAATGAAATCATCTCAGCAGCTTTACTCATAAAATTATTGCCGTTAGCTGAATTCATATATTGTATCTTTACACACACATATACACACAACCCACTGATGTGGGTTGTACAAACATCAGTGGGTTGATGTACGAAACCTTTCTGATGTATGAAGCCTTTATTTGTCAGTTATAATTTACAAAAAACAGTCAGTTAAAGTACAGTGGGGCAAAAAAGTATTTAGTCAGCCACCGATTGTGCAAGTTCCCCCACCTAAAATGATGACAGAGGTCAGTAATTTGCACCAGAGGTACACTTCAACTGTGAGAGACAGAATGTGAAAAAAAAAAATCCATGAATCCACATGGTAGGATTTGTAAAGAATTTATTGGTAAATCAGGGTGGAAAATAAGTATTTGGTCAATAACAAAAATACAACTCAATACTTTGTAACATAACCTTTGTTGGCAATAACAGAGGTCAAACGTTTACTATAGGTCTTTACCAGGTTTGCACACACAGTAGCTGGTATTTTGGCCCATTCCTCCATGCAGATCTTCTCGAGAGCAGTGATGTTTTGGGGCTGTCGCCGAGCAACACGGACTTTCAACTCCCGCCACAGATTTTCTATGGGGTTGAGGTCTGGAGACTGGCTAGGCCACTCCAGGACTTTCAAATGCTTCTTACGGAGCCACTCCTTTGTTGCCCGGGCGGTGTGTTTTGGATCATTGTCATGTTGGAAGACCCAGCCTCGTTTCATCTTCAAAGTTCTCACTGATGGAAGGAGGTTTTGGCTCAAAATCTGACGATACATGGCCCCATTCATTCTGTCCTTAACAAGGATCAGTCCCCTTGGCAGAAAAACAGCCCCATAGCATGATGTTTCCACCCCCATGCTTCACAGTAGGTATGGTGTTCTTGGGATGCAACTCAGTATTCTTCTTCCTCCAAACACGACGAGTTGAGTTTATACCAAAAAGTTCTACTTTGGTTTCATCTGACCACATGACATTCTCCCAATCCTCTGCTGTATCATCCATGTGCTCTCTGGCAAACTTCAGACGGGCCTGGACGTGCACTGGCTTCAGCAGCGGAACACGTCTGGCACTGCGGGATTTGATTCCCTGCCGTTGTAGTGTGTTACTGATGGTGACCTTTGTTACTTTGGTCCCAGCTCTCTGCAGGTCATTCACCAGGTCCCCCCGTGTGGTTCTGGGATCTTTGCTCACCGTTCTCATGATCATTTTGACCCCACGGGATGAGATCTTGCGTGGAGCCCCAGATCGAGGGAGATTATCAGTGGTCTTGTATGTCTTCCATTTTCTGATGATTGCTCCCACAGTTGGTTTTTTCACACCAAGCTGCTTGCCTATTGTAGATTCACTCTTCCCAGTCTGGTGCAGGTCTACAATACTTTTCCTGGTGTCCTTCAAAAGCTCTTTGGTCTTGACCATGGCGGAGTTTGGAGTCTGACTGTTTGAGGCTGTGGACAGGTGTCTTTTATACAGATGATGAGTTCAAACAGGTGCCATTCATACAGGTAACGAGTGGGGGACAGAAAAGCTTCTTACAGAAGACGTTACAGGTCTGTGAGAGCCAGAGATTTTCCTTGTTTGAGGTGACCAAATACTTATTTTCCACCCTGATTTACGAATAAATTCTTTACAAATCCTACCATGTGGATTCAAGGATTATGTTTTTCACATTCTGTCTCTCACAGTTGAAGTGTACCTCTGGTGCAAATTACTGACCTCTGTCATCATTTTAAGTGGGGGAACTTGCACAATCGGTGGCTGACTAAATACTTTTTTGCCCCACTGTACATGTGTAAGAAAGCCTACCAAGCGGTATGTTATCCCAGTGGAGACGGCAGGTGTTGTTGGTCCAGGTGCATTGCTGGATTCCTAAGGAAATATTTGCATCAAGAATGACTGTTGCCTACCAAATAAATAAATTAAGTTGTATTTTGTTCGATGTCTGTCTGCTGCCTACCAAATTTAAAAAGAAAAAGTGAGGACTAGCTAAGTAATTTAGTTATGCTAGTTTAGCTAACACTGCTATCAAGCCATCGGCGATTGTGAAGTGGAGACTGCAGCTGCTGAGGGTGTTCTACTGCTGAACGTTTGGATGGCCGACAAAACGGCTCTTCCGATGTATTACATAGGCTTACAGGAACCATAACATTTACAAGGAAGCCATGTTTTACATGGAAGCCATGTCCACGGTTAATCACGTGACCTTTTGAATGTCAGTTTTTAAATTTAAATATGTTAAATTTGCTAACGAAAAAGCGAGGCAGTGACGGATGTTCGGGACCACTGTGTGCTGATTATTAATAAACAATATATTCCTATATGACAACATGCATAAAACCAGAACGGTAGGCAGGCTTGCTAGCTTTTGCACAGCTTCATCGGGTCAGTCTGAAAATTAAAAAGAAGAATGAATGAACTTACCGTTATAATCAAGGGGGTTTAAATATGTTAAATTTCAATACATCAGATGTGATATTCAAGATGAACTGGATCAAAATTTTTCATTAGAGACAAACATAGATTATGATATTTAACACCAAACCTTAAGAATTCCTTCTTAAATGTGATTTTGATGTCAACAAAATTCCCATTCACTTATCTATTTTTCACAGACAGGCACGATCATGTTGGCTTCTACACATTTTTGCGTTTTCACCTTCAGATCCCCCGTTCCACCTGCTGCTGGATCAAAGACTTCCTTACCAACTGACTGCAATCAGTCCAACTACTTCCAAGCACTTTTTTCTCCAAAGTGTGCCTTTCTATTGTTTTATATATATTCCTATGGTTTGTCTATATTCCTCTTGATTGTGTTAATTTCTCATTTTTGTCATTTATTGGTGCTGTCTTACTATTTATGTTTTATTCCAGTTTTAATTTCGTTATACATGTGACATGTGACAATGACAATAAAGGCATTATTCTATTCTATTCTATTCTATTCTTGTCTACAAGCATAAATTTCCCCAACATAAATCTCTGATTTGAAATAACAAAAATATTAAATACAAAAATAAATCAATGTTTTATAAGAAATGGATCTAAAATAATATTAATTATGCATCCAAACGAATGAATGAAAAACATCAGGAGTTGAGGACTTTTGATGTCCCAGGGTCTGTGAGAGAACACAGTACAGTTTTTGATGCAATTGCAATTATTTTTTTAAGGCTGCTACAAGACAGAAATGGACCAGATATAAAGATGTTCTCATAAATAAAAAATTTCTTAGGTATATGATTCATTGTCCTGTAACTGCTCATTGTCAGTTTTATTAGAATGGTAACGTTATGAATACTAATTGTTGGTGACTTAAGTCTTTAGTCACCAACAAGGTCAAAGACATTTACTTTAAAATAATTCATCAAATATATACAACAAACCATTTTATTAAAAAAATATAGAAATGATTTGGATGAATCTTTTACCTTCTGTAAAACAGTCAGAGAATCAATTTTGCATTTTTTTTTACGATTGTATTAATGTTCTGTTTTTTGGACTGAAACTGAACAATTATTTCAACTATATTTTAGTATTAAAATGAACCTACAAAATAGATTCTATTTTTTGATTCTATTTGGAAAACTCTGATACAAAACTCAATTCCCCTTAATTCAAGGCTGAACTGAAAGCTCACCTTGGGACTTTGAAAGGTTTAACAGATTTGAAAAGCCATAAAAAGTAACTTTAACGCCTTTAAAGATTGTGTTTAAAATATCTCACATGTGGGGTACATGTCAGGTATTTCCTGTATGTTTCATTATTTCTTTTTCTATTTCTTTTATTTATTGCTTTACATTGTAAATGTTCTCAACTTCATAAGTCTCGAATTGATATTTTTATATAATATACTTAACTGTATTTCATGTCAATACTGATAATAAAATAGAAAGGGGGGAAAGGGAATGTGAAAGATAATTTGATTGTTAATCTGTTAGCTAATATGGAAGTAATCCCATACTTAATACCATGAAATAAATCTTTGATTTTTAAATCCTTTTACTTATTTCTCTTTTTTTAATTGTATTTTAAAAAAGATTTTGAAAATCTATTATTTGATTTAAAATTCAGAAAACAATTTTTTTATTGAAAGGTTAATTTTTTAATGTGAAATCCATTTTTGATTTGAAGTGTTTATTAATGGATTAATCAATTTTGAAATATTGGCTCAAGTAATGTTTTCTTTTAAATTAAATTATCAAATAATAAATTACTTTAGTCATGTTTAAATAATCAAAATAAATGGTGATTAAATTTTAAAATGCATATTTTATTTTACAATTCATTACAAAAGCACAAAAATTCTTTATTTTGATACATCTGGCGCTTCTGGTCCTCCATACAGTCCTCTTGAAACAGAGCTGAGGGTGCAGTCCCCATACTAATTCTGCTTTATGGAGTATTGGGGTTTATGCATAAACCCCAATTGGGAGGGTACTTTTGAAACCCATTTATAATTAGTAAGGTGTAATTAATGAAGGTAACAAATATTGGAACGTCAGAATATATTTTATAACAAAAATTGGTTAGGGCTATTCTGCGTATAAATACATAAGGATAAGCCTATATGAATGAGGACTACTCTCATTACAAAGTGATGTTGGATAAAAACAAAAGTGCAGAACAAGAAGGACTTTTGTGTTTGGGAAGAGAAGTTTCCATACCCCGATGTCGTTCAGATACGGTTCTCCATAAAATATGCAGCAGAACCAGCTCTTCCCACACCGGTGGATTCTTTAGGAAGTGTAACGAGGTTTGTTTATGCAGCACTACTTTTGTGTACCTCCGACAATTACTGCTACAAACTAAGATACCAATTTTCGGCGTTGTTTAATAAAAAAAGGTTTAGAAAAATCCCCAATCGTGACCATTTTTCAAGTTTTACATTGCGTTTTTTAATTATGTTTATCCTTTAAGCACAGACGGTAGAGATTGCGTCGTATTTGTTGGACCTATTTTCTTTAGGATGGCTGTGCTGCGTTTTTCTCTGTCCCTCTGTTGTCCGTGGCCGCCATCTTGAATTTTAATGTTAATTTCTTTTAAAAAATGTGTTTCCTGTGTTATTTTCTTTTAGGGTATCGTGCTACATTTGGATTAGTTTAAAGAAGAGCTGTTTTGTTACGCGACGGTTTAGCGTTTTAAGATTGTAAGTATTTTGTGTGTTTGGTGGGGGTTTTTTTGTTGTCGACTGGGGTTATTTAACGATACCAAGCCGTGTAACGCTCTCAGCTTCCTTTTGAACTCATTATGATGTATAACATTACTTACACCCGGTAACTCGTTATTTGCTTTCTTTGATAACGACAGTATATTGTATCTACATGGATTCAGGTACATTAAGTAACTTTTAATTCGCTGAGAAACTGAATATTTAGCCCATCGACCTAGCTAATGGCTTCCATATCAAACAACCTGTGCTAATGCAGTTTGATAGCGTGCGTTAGCTGGTGTATTCCAGTTGTTTGTAGGTAGACTGCATACCGTAAACTATTTGTTGGGACATGCTGGGAGCTAAATGCCGTGTAATCACCGAATATTTCATGATTTTTGAGACGACATAAATTTGATGAGGAGAGACTGAATAACTGCAATTAGTCGTTGCTCACTGCCGATCAAGTTAAGTTAGTAGGTGAAGTTTCATGTCGGCTAACATGAATCGGGGAGTGTGTTAATGCTTGAGGATACGCTGAGGGTTTAAATCAGCAGGCCCGGCAAACGAGCCGTATTTGGTCTTTTTTTTTGCTGAAATTTAGCAGCTTGATAGGGAAACGTCAGAGCAGTTTGTGATGTCGAATTGGTATATTGTGGCATGAGATGGTCCTTAAATATGTGCATCAGTCTAACAGTACTCGACATCAGTCTTTGTTTTTAATTGCGTTTGATGGGTAGTATTTGTGAGACGTGCTTAGTCTTTGGAAAATACCTAGGCATGTAGCCGGCAAGCTAACCACTCTGGCCTCGTTCGTGGTAATTAGCCTCAGGCTAACGAAGCGAACGGTTGGAGAGAGGGGAGTTGTCAGCAAACAATACCCTGCTATATTCACAACTCTGGTACAATTTCGGCCTCAGATTACGGTGTGGCCTTCCGGGTTTCTACTGCCTCTCCCATTCCCCGAGGATGTTGTGTTCTCCAGTAGCTAACGTTAGCTTTTGAACCATAAAGACGAAGCACATTTGCTTCGATCACAACTGCGACGATGCCACACTATAGCGCCCTGGAAACTGCTCGTATGACAGACTTATAAACACCATGGCATGGTAATGAAGCCGAAAACGTGTCTGTCATATGATGCATACATTAACAGGGCAGCACTGTGTGGATGGATGACAGGAGAGAAGTAATTTCTGGTGCACTTGACAGTAAGCCAATGCAGTATGTGGAATTAACGCTAAGCGGCGCTCGAGGATTATTTTTCTGTACTGACATTGCCCAAACCTGAAGTGTCTCACAGCGCTGGGTTCATTCACTGATGCTGATCACATTATGCCAGTAGTGTTTTAAATGGCAGTTTACTGGGCAAACAAAAATAATAACCAATTGTCATCATTGAAAAGCTAAAAGCAGCAAATGTGTCCTTTTTGCTTGAAATTAGTTTGAGATTGATTAAGAGAATAATATTTTTATGTATGTTTGGTCAGATATCAGTGAAATCAGAAAAGAAAGAAATGCAAGAAATGTTTACCTTCACTGTTCTACCTCTGTGATTGCCAAATGGTATCTGAGTAACTTTTCAAATCAGTCTTCTTTATATAGCGTCATTTCACAGCATTGGTTACCTTGGTACAAACCCTACAGTAACTGTGTTCCGCTGTGTTCTCATTACATTACAAACCCAGGTGATGAGGTATCTAAAATGAAGATGCCTTGATGTAGCGATGCTAAACAGAGCAAATAGTGTTCTTAATGCAACATGAAACGTTTGTAGCCAGCAAATTCAATATTAGTTTGTCATTTAGTCAAAAAAATATTCAGCTTACCTTGAAGTTAGGAACAAAATATTTTATACCTGATAGATTAACTCTATCATTCCAGTTTATAAGATATTTTCTGTTAATCAATTGAATTTTTGCAGTTTAAAAATTTCTCGTCCGTTTCTTCTTTCACCAGGTTTCAAAGTCTTGTCCCCAGTCTTCCCCACTCAAGAGTGTTGCTTCATCTCAGAGACTAAATGCAACTGGACCAGGGGTCTTGTGGGCATGAAGTGGCTGGGCGAATCCAAGAACATGGTATTAAATGGCAGACGACATGGAAACAAGTTGACTGGCGAGCAGACTGTGAGCCCGAGCCAGACTCGCTCTCAGCATCCACAACGTGCATCTCTGCGCCACAGCAAGAGCCACACCAGAAACCGAAGATGTAGCCGCAGTGAGTTCAATATGCTTGCTTTTACTAATGCAATGATTCTTCAACTGCAGCATACTTTAACTTTAGCATGCTTGTGCTTTTTGTAGGATTTAATGCAGCCAGTCTGGAGGCAGAAAGGCGCTATGTACCCTCCTCTGGAATGACTGCCAAGGAGTTGTGTGAGAATGACGATCTAACCACGAGCCTCATACTGGATCCATATCTGGGCTTTCAGACACACAAAATGAACACCAGGTTAGCAAATATGCATCTGCTAATTTTCTTGCAGCTTCTCCTGAGATTATCCCAGATGATAAGCTTGTAGTTACTTTTGTATCTCAAATGTCTCCTGATAGATTTCGACCTATTAAGGGAAGGCAAGAAGAGCTGAAAGAGATAATTGAGCGCTTCAAGAAACACGACAACTTGGAAAAAGCTTTCAAAGCTTTGACATCAGGAGACTGGGCTCGAAATATATTTCTCCACAAGACGAAGGCTCAAGAAAAGCTCTTCAAGCAGCATGTAAATACACTATTATTATTTTCCCACTATTGTGCAAGCCAGCCATCCAATCACAAAGCTCATTATGTGTTTTCCATAGGTGTTTGTTTATCTGCGCATGTTTGCTACAGACAGTGGGTTTGAGATTCTCCCTTGTAACCGTTACTCATCTGAGCAAAATGGAGCTAAAATTGTGGCAACAAAGGAATGGTGAGAACCAACTGATATATGTTATTAATAACTGTGAACTTTGGTTTTGTTTAAACTTGGCCATTGTCTAGTTCAAAGATAATTCTAGTTACAGTGATTTCAAACTTTTGATCTAATAATAATAATTGTAACACTATTAAAAGTCCTTCACAGGATGTGAGTAAAATATATTAAAACATAAAAAAATAAAACTGCAAAAAGAAGAAACATAAGCAGTTTATTAGAAGTTGGAAGAAACAGATAACCAGAGTTGTGGTAGGATGTGATGTTAACTTACAAACTTGTTTTCAACCTGGGTGATAACCCTTTCTGCCTAATTTAATATCGCAGGAAAAGAAACGATAAGATTGAGTACTTGGTTGGGTGCATTGCTGAGCTCTCAGAGAGCGAGGAGAACTTACTGCTGCGGCATGGAGAGAATGACTTCAGTGTCATGTATTCGACCCGCAAGAACTGTGCGCAGCTGTGGCTTGGACCAGCTGCATTCATCAATCATGGTAGTAATCTTCGTTTTACTTGTGGAAATCTTATCACACCCTCTTGTTAAAAATTTTGACATCACTGTTTTTCACGAGTATATTAATTGCTGTGCCCTCCCCTCACAGATTGTCGGCCAAACTGCAAGGTAGGCTTTCTTCAGCGTCTTTTGGGATCAGTCACTTTTAAATGTGGAAACTCAGGTTATTAAGACTTTTTCCGTTTGTCTTCTAAGTTTGTGTCAACAGGTCGGGACACAGCTTGTGTGAAAGTTTTAAGGGACATTGAGCCAGGAGAAGAAATCTCGTGCTACTATGGAGATGGTTTTTTTGGGGAAAACAATGAATTTTGTGAATGCTATACGTGTGAAAGGTAGGAGTATACGTCATGAGAAAACTAAACACAGTGTTTGAGTGTGGGTTGGAAAAACAAAAGAATTTGAGTAAAACAAACTCAGAATCTCAGTTGAGTACGATAAGAACAATTAAACCATACTTTCTTTTTTTCCCCCCTTCTGTCATGTAGACGAGGTACTGGTGCTTTCAAATCCAAAGCTGGACTGCCAGTGGAAGTACCGGTGATCAACAGCAAGTATGGATTGCGTGAGACAGACAAGCGCCTCAACAGGCTGAAGAAGCTAGGGGAGGGAAATAGGACCTCAGACAGTCACTCTGTAGGCTCGCACACCGATGTAGACTCTCAGGAAATGCCAAAAACACATCAATGTAAGAGTCCTCTAACAGTTAAACATGTATTTCGTCTGTTGCAGATGTGAAACTCCTTGGGCAATACTGTCTTATATCTCTTAATTGTACCATGAATCATCCCCAGTAATCTGTATTATTTGTGCTGCAGGACTCCACTAGAAGTCCAAAATGTTACATTTTATTTATTTTTTTCTATATGCAGTTACTTATCTAAAAACATTATAATGTGCAGCCTTTTCTGTTTTTCCTCCAGCTGCCAGAAAAAGAACATCATCATCGTCATCATCATCTGGCCTGAAGTATAAAAACAGGACTCAAACCAGACAGACTTTGTCAAGAGCCCTTACTACCTCATGTTCAAAACAAGGTCGCGCAAACAATAACAGGGTACCAAAGAGACTAAGATCCCAATCTAAGCCTTCGCTAAGTAAAGTCCAGTTGCGAAGTCGGAAAAGGGGTGCAGAGCCCAAGGCACTGGCCAAACAAGAGACCTGCCAGTTGGGTCTCACGGACTCAAAGATGTCGCTGTGTAAAGGCGTCACTGTAAAGAAGGAGAAGGATGGGCAGGAGCTAGTGCAGCAGACACTGGGCCAGCAAGGCTATCTGACACGTCATACTGCCAAGGAAAATGGCCACCTCCCAGCTGTGCAGAGCAGCGAAGGCAGCCAGTGTTCGATGTACAGAACTCGCAGGTCCACAAGGACCCTTGTAAAGGCTCGGGAAACAGCATCTGGTGTTAAGCTAGAGCCCAGCGCCATGGATGGTTTGAGTCCAGTCCCTGGTGGGGTGGTCATCAAAACAGAGCCAGCTGACATGGAGGAGTACCTCCACCACGGAGTTGAGCTAGAACATCCATCATTAGATGCTGGCTATGCCAGAAGACGCTCAAGCACCAGGCAGAAACGGCCAGCACGGATCAGGGCCGAGCGGACAATTAAATGCGAAGACACATATGGGGAGTCCTTCATGCAAGTGGTTGGCAGCCATGCTGCAGAGTTCTCAGATTGTGGAAATATGCTTTTGAGCTTTGCTGACCAACATAGAGACTACAATTGCGTCACCCATGGCAGCAAATCTTTCCACCGGGACAAGGGAAAGGGTAGTTGCCGGTCTCAGGACAAGGGGAAGAAGAAGCGTCGGATCACAAGATACGATGCTCAGTTGATCCTAGAGAATAACACAGGCATCCCCAAACTGACGCTCCGCCGGCGGAGGGATAGCAGCAGTAGCAAGACCACTGACCCCAACGATCCTGTTGGCTCCTCCCATCTTTCGGCATCTACGGTCAATTCACCTTCTTCGAGCAAAATTAGCATAAAGTTCAGCAAGGATCATGACAAGGATAAAGGCAGCTCCTACATCGCCAAACTGAATAACGGTTTTGCCCCTGTGGTCCACAGCAATTCCACCAAGCTGAACATCCAGTTGAAGCGGGAGGATGATGCACGAAGACTATCACAGACAAAGGTGGACCAGATTTCCTTTAATGGAGACATGAGTCAAGGTCTAGAGACCAGGAATGGTGGACATCTGACCCAAAAGGTCCTGGCAGACCCTTCGTCTGATGATGAGGACAAGGAAGTGGAGGATGACGATGACTACTTTGATAATGAGTTTGAAGACGATTTCATTCCACTTCCTCCAGCAAAGCGGCTCCGACTCATTGTGGGTAAAGACTCCATAGACATTGATATCTCCTCCAGGAGGAGAGAGGATCAGTCTCTGAGGCTCAATGCATAAGCGGTGGACTTTTCCCTGTAAATATAGACGACCTGCTAATCAACTGTTGTGTTGATGTAAAAGAAGTACAGTAATTTAAAAAGAGAGAGAGAGAGAAATTGAACATTATTAGAGGGTGCTGTTAACTTGAAACAAATTTGTTGTTCACTCTGTCACTTTATTTCATATAAAGACCAACCACCCAAAATATTGATTAATGGAAATTTTACAAGTCCATCCCGTGATAGGAATCTTTCTCATTTTTGGGAATGATCTAGCTGGCTCCTAAGTGAAAACAGAATTTGTTTTAAGCTAAACTATTCCTTTAAGTAAATGCACTTGTTTATTCATAATGGACGTGGATATTGTAGAAAGTGTACAGTATGGTGATTATTCCTCTCTGTCTCATAGGCAGGTATTTTACTGAACTTTTGGTTTTTGTCTCTAGTTGGTAAGTTTCAGTAGGCAAACTGCACTGAATGAACAGTGTAGAGTGGTTGGTCCAGAGGCATTGTAACATCATCCAGACAGTCCTTTAGGATGCAGGTGCCATGTTCTCATTATTCCAGTAGTTTTCCTGGGAAAGAATGTCTTTTTTCAGAGTATAATTTAAGTTCATCATGTGTATGTATGTGTAGAATTGAATTATGATGTTAAATTTGGGCTATCATGGGCTTACCCACAGGAACAGTTTTTATATATGGTATATCAGGTAGGTAGAGCCTGATCGATCCTTATACTAAATCTTTGCTACCCAAAAATTCGGTATTGCATGCTTAAATAAAAATAGCAAGTGAGTTGTATTGGAAGAGGGACATGCATTAGTTTAAAGTGAAAAATGAATGAAACGTCAAACGTTCCTCTTGTGGTAATATGATTACAGCTCCAAAAGTTAGTCAATCTCTGTGGACTCCCATGATAAAAAGTGTTACACAGTTGAACAATTACACATTTTACAGCAGAGTTTTGGTAGCTACTTTGGGAGGTTATTACTCCCTTCGTAACAACTGTGTGACTCTAGATTTTGCTCAAGTCTTTATCGACTTAAGATTATGCATCACTTTTTGTATAACTGATAGTTAGTGCCACACGCTGTCTGCAGGATGTCACCTCAGGTGATTGAAGTCACAGAACTGGATCTCTTGTCTGTGTTTTTTGTTGTCTGTTTTAGTACAAAATGTTTTTTTGAGTGGTTATTTTTCTGAGAAGTCTGTTCTCCAGGTTTAGGGTGTCAGATTCCTGTGTTTTTGTGTTACTCAGTACTAATTTGCAGGAACAGGTGCGATTCACCTTTCTACCAAACAAAGCTAGCATTAGCTGTTAACATAGCACCCCAGCCACTCATTGTCATATGGTCACTTCAAACAAACCAAAAAAAAAAAGTAAAGCAAGCCATAATGCAAATGCTGAGGCTTTAAATAAACTTTTATATTTTGTCTACAGTAATTCACAAAGTAGTTAGGAACTTGCAGTGGAGGCACCCCACCATTTTTCCCCCGCCATGATGCTACTTTGCTGCAAGTGATATGGACAGCAAGAGGATCTTTTTTTTTTTTTTTTTTTTTTTTTTTAAATTAAAAGGTATTAATATTGAGGTTTCTCAAACAATATGTGTGGGTCTACAGATAGATCTGTGGTAGGCTTATATATTGGTCAGGCTCTGTTATGTGTTGGAAACAACTGACAGAGTAAACAAGTAATCCAGCTTTAGCAGCAAGGAACGTGTGTTTTTCATTGTTCAGACATTGAGCACATTTCTTTGTGGTAAATCCCTGTAGCTTGTTCAGTGATGTAAATACACACTTTAAGCAGCATAATTTAAAAAACAACAACATCAAAAACAATTTTATAATCCAGCATACATAAAATTGTATTCTTCAAAGTTTTTCATTTCTGGAGCTACTCTGTAATGGTAACATGGCACATGTGGTAGTTCAAGGTCATTCAGATCCACTTTTAAAGGCTACCAGTATATGCTTTTGAAATTCGAAATGTTAAAAGTAATGTACAGAATGACTGGCTTCCGTGTCATCGTTGAATGATGTTTTTCTCCACGCTCACTCTTCACTGTGAGAGTTTCTAAAATCAGAAGTGATGTCTGTTGACACTAGACTTTGCAGAGGAACCTTTCACTGTTTCAAATGTTCTTGAACTTTTGAATCTTGTACTGAGGCTTTCTTTTTTTCTGTTTTTTTCCCAATATACATTCTGTGGTGCTACTTTTATTTCCTTCCTACCTGTTTGATTTTCTCTTCCATGTACGAATGGCAGCATTAACCTAGAATTTAGAAATACAGTGTATCACTTATATGTTTAGTCACTTGTTGTTTTTTTAGTTTCCTTTACAGGAGCGCATATACTTTCCAACAGCATTAGGTGCCTTAAAGAGCATTTTGACAAAATTTCTCACATAGCTAATCATGAAAGAGTAAATGCTAAGCCATCTGTTTTTCCCAGAGAAACACTTCATCAAAAGCCCACCGTCAGTCCTTCTGTATATTATTTTCTTATTGTGTGGATGTAAATGAACAGCCCAAGGGATCAAGACTGAGACTCAATGTTAATCTTATTTCCTGTGTTTAATATGTACTGTTGACATCACCAGCAGCTAATCACCATTTTGACCATGCTCAGTGTGGCCCCAATATCCCCTCCTTTGGACTTGTCCATCCCACACTGTAAACTCTTCCAGGTGTTACCATCTGTGTGGTCCTTGTCCAATAGAAAGCTGTCACAATAACCAGCTCACTCAAAAAGTAAAAAGAAAAACATCTAAACAAATGTGAATAATTTGCGGAAATTTTTAGCGTGTTGCGTGGGTAGTGGGAATCATGTAAAGACAAATAAAAATGGGCAGTGCATATATTGTCCAATATGTAAATCATGTGAACACATCTTGTACTTATTTAACAGTTTTGAATACTTGAAAACTATATAAAGTTTCTTTGTGACTCTTGTTCCTTGAGCGTTTTGAGTTCTGCTGTTAAAGTGTACAATTTCCCCCTATTGGTGCTAGGACATGTGCCTTGAAAAGTTCAGTTGTGCATTTTCCGAAGAAATTGCAAACTAATATTAGAAAACATAGTTTAAACACACGATGCAAACTAATCACACCATTGTGATGAAAGTTCTATATAGCATGTTATTTCCTAATATTAAAAACGCTCTGAATCTGCTGTAAGCACTTCAACTGGAATAGCTAAAAAACAGTATGTACCTTTTAGTTCTAAGGTTTTACATATCAACCTCAGATAAATAGCAGCACATTACACAGTGCCATTATTCAACAAAAACTAAGCCAGAATGTAGAAGCAGTGTGTGAAAACTAAGTCTGCCTTTACTGCTTCTATTAAGAGGGCAGGTAGCAGCCAGATTCTGCTAATCAGATGTGCTGGATGAACTTATTATTCCAAACAGTTTAAAGTGTCATTCTTCAGCGAGAAACATTAGTAAGTGGAAAATGCCTGAGACAGTCAGTATTCCCGGGAGTCAAACCATGAAATAGTGAAATAATTTAAAAAAAATCTGAAGACAAAAGTCTCAGGCTCTAAGGGCCTCAGCATGTTAAATGTTGAAAAAAAAAGTTGAAGTTCATGACAGTTAAAAAAAAGACAGAATAAATCAATATGTAAATATCTGACCATAATGCACAGTACCATGTTTTGAGAAAGCTTAACAGCATATTGATACCCCCCCCCCCCCCCCAATCAGCTGTCAAGCAGTGGTGCCGGGTTGATAATTTGATTAAACTTCCGATATACCAAAGTATTCTGCAGTTAAATGTGAAGCTATCTGTCTGAAAGCTAAATAATCAAGTGGTGGAAGGGTCCAGTCAAAGTAATGCCCTTAACCCAATTGATGGGGTCTTAGGTGAGTTGTGCACAATAATAATAATAATAATAATGGATTGGATTTATATAGCGCTTTTCAAGGCACCCAAAGCGCTTTACAATGCCACTATTCATTCACTCTCACACACTGGTGGAGGCAGCTACAGTTGTAGCCACAGCTGCCCTGGGGCAGACTGACAGAAGCGAGGCTGCCATATCGTGCCATCAGCCCCTCTGGCACAGTAGCACAGTGAAAATATCTGTAAGCTATATGAAGTTTCTTTGTATCTCTTGTTCGAGTTCTGATATTGAAGTTCCACGCTTGTTACAACAAACATCCCAGTATGATTTAATGCAAAAAGTGAAGATATCAAAACAAAGTTAAGATTTTGCCATTCACAGTGTTGGTCAAGTTACTTGAAAACAGTAATTAATTACTGATTGTTTCTCCAAGTAAGTTATTCCGTGACTTTAATGATTATTTATTTTCAAATCTAATTAGTTACTTTATTACTTTTTAAAAACATGACACACAACCTGAATACATTATAAAGTAATAGACCTTTCAGACCAATTTTATTTTTTCTGCATAATCCATCATATAACCCAGAAACCATTTGCTCTCAGCTCATTAAGTGTCTGTCCTCTCCCTTGATGCTGGGTTTTCTCATGGAACTGATCTAAAATCAGGTGTGTAATTATGCCATGTTTGGGTAGGATTATTGGATGCCTCGTGTCAAGCAGTAAGGAAGCCTTCATTAACTGCCCTCCTACCCTGAGAACACCGTCTTGCAATATTGGGTCAAGTTGGAACAAAGGATGGCTCTGTGGTAATTTACCATGGTTCAGTGCTTGGATTTCCTCCTTGAAAGCATCTTCTTGTGCTAATTTTATAAGCACATGACTTGCTTTTCTTCTGTCTTCCACATTTATACCCTTTGTTGCATTGGCTCTTTTGGCTAGTTGCTGGATCCTGGCAACTACATTTACTGCTGTATGCCATTTTGAGAACCTTTTGAGTCTCTCCAAGAAGTTCCTGTCCTCTACTACCTTTGTTTGTAGTATTTGTGTCGTTTTGACCTCTGGATCACCTACCAGAAGGTCTGGAGTTGAGTCTGGTGTGACAAACTCTCTTTCCCACAGGAAATGAGGTCCAATGAGCCAATTTGAACCTGAGGCCTCTGGTTTCTCCTCCAGGGCAACTTTAAAGGAGAAGGTGTCACTGCTTACACTCCACCTTACTCCCAACACAGTCTAAAATGGGAGTTCATGATGACTGATGTCCACTTCCTGGGCTCCACTAGCTCGTTCACTATCTGGAATTAACTCCAGGACTTCTCTGTTGGCTGCTGTGGGATGTTCCCTTTCATTTTGGCCCGCAAGATACTTCATTGCATAATTTGCGCAGCCTGGTGAGGATGCGGCCCCGAAAAGATGGACTTTCATGCGATATTCTTTTGGCTCTGTGTTTGTTTCACCATTTTCCCACCACAGTAATTTCTGTCCTCTCTGTTTACATGAAATCTGTTAAACATCTTCTCTACATCACAGATGATTGCAATTGGGTGTTGGCGAAATCGGCAGAGTACTCCAGTCAAACTGTTAATGAGATCAGGTCCAGTCAAGAGGTGATCATTCAGAGCTGTGCCACTGTACTTTGCAGAGCAGTCAAACACAACCCTGATTTTTTACGGTTTTCTCAGGTGATAGACGCCTTGATGTGGAATATACCACACATTTCCTTCTCTGGGATCATCTTCAGCTCTTTCAGCATCACCTTCCTTGAAGACATTGTCCATGAACCTTACATAATCGTCCTTAAAGTTGGGATTTTTCTCAAACTTCCCTTTCAGGTGCTTAAGTCACACCAGAGCCAGAAGTTTATTTTCTGGCAGCTGAGGGCGTGCCTTAAAGGGAAGTGGCATCTCTAGGTGCCCATCAGCATTCTGGTGTATTTTCTCATTTAGCAGTTGCATGAACTGTATGTCATCTTGTGATATGCTCTTTTCTCCAGGAGCTGTGTCTTTGAAGTCTGACTCAAGCACTCTGATGATGGTGGCTGGTGTCAAGGGTGGAAGTTCCTTAACAGATAAGCGATGGCACAGGCCTGTCACTTCTGCTGATGTTGCCATTTTTTGTGAACTGCCAACAATGCTCCAGCCCAGGTCTGTCTTGATTGCATATGGCTCTTCGTCACTTCCCGCGATTACTTGCCGTGGTGCCAGTGCTCTAGGACAGTTGTAGCCTATTAACAGCCCGACCTTGCAATCCATTAACTCAGGCATTTCCTGTGCTATTCTGATTAGATGTTCCCATCTTTTGGCAGTTTCAGAGGTGGGAATGTGTGAACGTTCAAGTGGGATGAAGTCTCTGGTTTAGGCAAGCTGATAAAGCTTTTGGAGGAAAACCCTCTAACTCTGAGCCCACTAACTCTTTCGCTCTGAACAATGTAATCTCTTCTCATCATAGTGGTTAGCTTTAACTTCACTGGCTCTAAACTCATCCCCATCTCCTCACATACCCCTTGATCTACAAAAGTGTTGCTACTCTGTGCATCTAATAGAGCATACACTAAGGTCTCTCTCTCTGGAGTGGTGGTTGAAGAAACCCACACAGGCACGATCATGGATGTGCTCCCACCATCTCCTCTGTCCATGCAACAAGAAAGTGCAGATATGTTTTCTTCTGCCTGCATTCTACGTGATGATGTGTTCACTGCAGTCGTTGGACGGTCTTCGTGAAGAGCTGTTGGATGATGTTTTTTACAAACCCCACAAGTCGCCTTGGGCTTACAGTCTTTTGAATTGTGTCCTCTTCTCAGACAGCCAAAGCACAGGTTATTGTCAAGTATGACCTTTCTTTTGTTCTCCACGGACATTTTAGCAAAGGTCTGGCATTTGTGAATAGAATGGCTTTCTCCACAGCAGATACATGTGACTGAGTTTGATGGCAAAGCATTTGCTTTTCTTTCTATATCAGGCTCATTTGAATTGTTCTCCACTCCGCTGTATCCTGTGGTTGTTCTGTCTGATGCTTTCACATTTGTGATGTATGCATTAGCCTTTGGACGCTTTATGTCCCTAGCTGACCTTTCTTCAGTGTGTTTCAAGGCATGAAATGATGTTACAGGATTGCATGCAACTTCTGCTTCTTGTGCAACAAAATCAGCGAATTGCTTGAAGCTTGGATATTCTTCTGTTTGCCGTAACTGCAATGTGACATGACGATTCCAACGAGAAGTCACCCAGTCAGGAAGTTTTTGGAGCAATTTTTGATTCTCTTCACAGTCATTTAACACCTGCAGTTCTTTGATGTATGGCATAGCATTGCTGCAGTCTGTCAGAAAATCACTGAATTGTCTCAGTTTAAGCGACTCTCTTGAACGAATCTTTGGCCAGTTGTTCAGTTTTTCCCTAAATGCATGCTGGATTATAAAGGGGTGGGCATACTGAGCATTCAAAGCTTCCCAAGCTTAGTCATATGCTTCGTCATCTTTTCTGTAAAAGCTTCCCTCCAATACAGACCGTGCTTCTCCACTGATGTATTTGCGTAGGTAGAACAACCTGTCAGCTGGATTTGTGCATCGCCGTTCTATCAAAGCTTTGAAACTAGTGCTCCACTCTAAGACCTTAAGTGGGTCCCCTGAGAAGACGGTCAGTTTTAGGCCCTATTCTCTTCTCATTGTATTTGCTCCCTCTAGGCTCAATCTTTGAAAAATACAATATCGCCTTCCACTGTTATGCCGATGACATACAGATCTATTTTGAACTTGCTGACGACCTTGCTGTGTCCCTGCACTACTTTCAAGAATGCATGCGGGAGGTCAAAGAATGGTTCCTGAGTAATTCCCTTGTTTTGAATGATAAGAAGACTGAGATTGTGGTGTTCAACAGTAAAATCCCTCGTGCCCAACTCTGTGCTGCCCTGGGTTCCTTTGCTAGTTTTTCCTGTGACTATGTCAGTAACTTGGGTGCACTGCTGGATAGCTCGCTCAAACTCGATAAGCAAGTGTCTGCTGTAGTGAGATCTAGCTTCCACCAACTGCGCCTTATCT